TTTTGTATTTTTAGTAGAGACGGGGTTTTGCCATGTTGGCCATGCTGGTCTCAAACTCCTGACCTCAGGTAATCTGCCCACCTAGGCCTCCTAAAGTGCGGGGATTACAGGCATGAGCCACCACACCTGGCCAAGAATTTTTAAATTACCAAAACACTCATCGCTTTTAACACGCAACAATAGTTCCTCTTGCTTAAGCCCCAGACCAATACCTCAGAATCATCTGGGGAGCTTTTTACAAAATCAGAGGGCCAGCCTGCATCCCTGCCCTGTAAGTCCACAGGCTTATGGGTGCCAGAGAGTGTTTAGATAACAAGCTCCCCATGTGATCTGACCGCACTGCCTCAGACGGACTTGGTTTATTGGCATCTTATCACCTCCAATTTACACGATGCTCAAAAATGTGTTCTTAGGAAAAGCCATAACATTCTTCTTCAACCTCAGGATAGGCTGTACCCAAGTTTCTTCTAATGCCATATTTCAGTCTGAATTAGCAAATTCAGAAAACTTCCCACCCAGGGCCTTCTACCAAAAAAAAAGAAAAAAAATTCTGATTTTAATTGTTGACAAAACTGGTTGTGTCTTGTAGAATTTTCCACAATCAGAATTTGACTGATTATATCCCCACTATTATTTAACATGTTTCTCTGTCCCAGTGTTTCTGATATATTGGCTGATTGCCATGGAAGTTCAAAGAGATTGAGGTTAGATATTTTGGCAAGAACGCTTCATGGATGGTGTGGTACACTTTATTAGGAGGCCTATGGTGCCTCTCTTTGTTATGTTAACAGCCGTATATGATCATTGCTTTGGTCTATTAATTCATTCATGTTTGTAATTAATTATCTTTGAATATCCAATAAATACTGAGCCCCAAATAGAGGCACTTGAATATATTTTTACTGAGAAGCAGTGACACAGAACCTGGCCTTGATTCTCTATTAGAAATGATTATATCTCTTGGCACTGTCTTGTGGTTTTAGGTAACTTTGAAGGGACAAAGAATATTCCAGCTCTCTTTACTGAGCCCTGGTGTGCTATAGATTAGCTGGATCAATACTGACTCAATACATTCATGTTTTCCTATTTTTACCTTTGGGCCTTATTCATATGTCCATATTCTCTCAAGAACACATCATCTTTTGCTTTCAACCCTTGATCCTCACTGGGAGGAGAGGAGATCATGCTGTGGCATGTTGTCTCCTTTCTTTCTTTTCTTTTTTTTTGAGACAGAGTCTCACTGTTACCCAGGCGGGAGTACAGTGACATAATCTCGACTCACTGCAACCTCTGCCCCCGGGATTCAAGTGTTTCTCCTACCCCAGCCTCCCAAGTAGCTGGGATTACAGGTGCCCGCCACCATGCCTGGCTAATTTTTGTATTTTTAGTAGAGTCGAGGTTTTGCCATGTTGGCCAGGCTGGTTTCAAACTCCTGACCTCAAGTGATCTGCCCATTTCGGCTGCCCAAAGTGCTGGGATTACAGGTTGAGCCACCACGCCGGGCCATCTCTTTTCTTTTCTTTTTTTTTTTTTTTTTGATGCAGTCTGGCTCTGCCGCGCAGTCTGGAGTGCAGTGGCGTGATCTTGGCTCATTGCAAGCTCCGCCTCCCGGGTTCACGCCATTCTCCTGCCTCAGGCTCCTGAGTAGCTGGGACTACAGGCGCCCTCCACCACCCTGGCTAATTTTTTATATTTTTAGTAGAGACGGGTTTCACTGTGTTAGCCAGGATGGTCTCTATCTCCTGACCTGGTGATACACACGCCTCGGCCTTGCAAAGTGCTGGGATTATAGGCATGAGTCACCGCGCCCGGCCGTTGCCATCTCTTTTGTTTGTGATTCTGCGTTTGAGGAACTTTGCTTTGCTGTGTGACACTTCAAGTTGTTCCTTAGATAAGGAGAGATAAGAAGCGCCCGCCTTTCCACCTCTACTTGGGGCAGCTACTAGTTATCGGTCCTAAATAATTAGTTTAATACATTAAATATCCATAACTTGGAGTTTTCTGTCTTCCTTTAGTTAAAAACGTTTTTAAAAAGTATTTAGCTTGGGCCTGGCATGGTGGCTCACACCTGTAATCCCAGCACTTTGGGAGGCCGAGGCTGGCAGATCACAAGGTCAAGAGATCAAGACCATCCTCTCCAACAAGGTGAAACCCTGTCTCCACTAAAAATACAAAAAGTTAGCTGGGCGTGGTGGCACACACCTGTAGTCCCAGCTACTCGGGAAGCTGAGACAGGAGAATCACTTGAACCTGGGTGGCAGATGTTGCAGTGAGCTGAGATCGTACCACTGCACTCTAGCCTGGCGACAGAGTGAGACTCTGTCTCAAAAAAAAAAAGAAAAGAAAAAAAAAGTAGCTTGTAACATAAAGGAAAAGTTCCTGAGGATATGTGATATTTTAGTGTGTATTCTGAAAGGACAGCTTAATGTTACTCATTTTAAACCCTTAAACAAAGAAAAATATCCTTTGCTCTTCTCTTTTAGGAAATTCACACAAACGAAAAGGAAGTAACAGAGAAGGAAGTAACTCTTCACTTGTTGCCAGGTAACTGTCATGTTAGCATAGTAACTCCTATGCAAGGCAAGGCCAATGATAAATTACATCATCCCTAGCCTTGCTATATTTAAACTCCTTTGTTTTCATCCTCCCACATATAACAGTAATGAATTGAACAAACATATCAAGGTTTTTAGTTCAGTAACTACACACCTGGGTCTGAGTGTTACAACATCTGCAAAGAATTTTTCTTGTTTCCTCTTCCCCCAAGCTGATGAAAATAAACCTGGGATATTCTCACTGCTTTCACAATCTAATGAGGCCTTTTTCAGGCCATTTTAATATGGCCTTTTCCAGTATGCTGATCCCCAATCTGTAGGAAATTGAGGAAAACAATTCAACTGCCATGGTCTCCCAAGGCAACTATTGGTGGGTGACTTTACCTTTTGGTCCATACCCACTTGTGCATGTGAGCACGTGTACTGGGGATGCTGGGGTTTACCAGCCCTGGGGCTGCCAGCACTTCACCCTGCAGTCATTGTGAAGGAGCCTGGATTGGTTGAATATTTTTGAGATAGAGGACAGTGACTTTAGCTTAAGTTAAGTTTTAATCATTTCCATGTTCAGGAATAGAAACTACTTGGTGGTGTATCCTCTCCATATATGGGATATTCTGTGATCCATGTATTTAATTCTTTTTCTACTTTCTTTTTCCTAATTCAAAATAGCTTTTTCAAAATAAGTTTTTTTAGGTACATTTCCCCAAAACAATACAGGCTTTATTCTGCTGCTTTTTATTTTATTCCAGTTTATTGAGGGGATATAAATCTGTGCAAGTTTCTGACTGATCTATCTTATTTGCTAAAAGAATTCTGTAACTTTTTTTGATGTTTTTAAACGTCAAAGACTTTTTTTCTATAATGATGACTTAAGCCGTCATCATTAAAAAAAATCTCCTCTTGTTTTGCCTCTTCTTGGGGTTATAGATTTGGAAATTTTATTTTTAGCTTAGCATTATGCATATTCTCCCCTCCCCTGAATTACTTCACAGTCTTATCTAGGTGTAGGTGTGCAGTGGTGAGTTCAGAGTTAACTTCTCTGAGTCTAGTTTCGTAAACTAGACAAAGATCATTTCTAGCTCCCAACTCTTGTGCTTCTAGACTCTGATCTGGTATAAACCAGCTGATTATGGCACAGCATGCTGTGTTTGCAGAGGGCCTCACCAGGAATGTTGTATTAGCTAGTGCATGCTAATTTCTGGTCTCTAGTACATGAGCATGGGATGGGGCTGGCCTGGTCTTGGGGAGAGCCTCACCATTAAAAGGTGTTTCACGTTGGGAGTTGAAAGCACAGGAAACCTTGCTCACATGTCTTCTCCCATGGACTTGGCAGAGACACTTTTTCTGGGACTATTTTAAACCCTAATGAGGCCCTGTCTTCATTATTTCCTTCAAACTGTGATCTCTCGAGAGGCTGACCTAGTGACTGAACCATCTTCCGGTGTTTCCTTAGTGTTTCAGCCCGAGGTAATTAACCCCTTGAAAGATGAGGGAACAACACCATAATATGTGTCCCTTCTGAGTGTCTGAAACTGTTCGTTTTCATATTGAAAGATAGACTAAATAAATTTTGAGCTAAAAAGTAAATTTAAAGATCTTGAAGGAGCTATCAAGAGGGAGATTCCAAGGAGAAGATGGTTGTCTGTTGCATGAGAAGAAAAATCTTTAGGTTTTTTTTGTTGTTGTTGTTGTTACACAACATTTATACTTAGTTTTTCATTTCCCCCATAGTCTTCTCTTTGGCGCCTCTGCTTCCAGGTGGCAGAGAATACTGACCTATTCCCTAATCCTCATCTTTTTGACTGCAAGGAGGGACACTTTCTGTCTCCAGGGACTGCAGTTTCTCATATCAGCTGGGTGCTGCAGATGGAGCAGGAGAGGTGACGCATTGAAAGGAAATACGCTTAACTAAGAAAGAGAGGAAACACGTTTTTCCCCCACAAACCTCTGACCTCTGTTTTCCTCCCAGCGTGGAGCCAGAACAAGGGTGGTCATGCTGTGGAAGGCTGCAGCACCTCTTGGATCTATGGAAGCTGCCTGGAAGCCCCATGGCCAGGAAGGCACTGCCACTCTCTCTCAGCACTTCCAGTATTAGAAGCCGCCCCCTTTCACAGGAAAGTGGGCTTGGGATCTGCGTTTTTTAGGGCAGACTAGGGCAAGGCCATCTGTGTTCACTTAGGGTATTGCTTCTGTGGAACATCTGCTTGGGTCAAGTAATGAAAACACTAAGATTTCTGCATGAAAGTGCAGCTCAGATCATTAGTACCTATTTGGACATTTCCATTATTCCCAGTGAGAAGATAGAAATGTCCTGCATGGAGGTGTATCTGAGCCATTTCAATTTCACTTCTTGGTGGTTTCCACTCTGCCTCATCTTCTCTCCTATGTTTTTGCAGCTCCTGCCATGCTGAAAAGTGTAAAGTTCTGAAGCCCCGTGTTGTATTGTGTGTTTGTCCATATGTAAATAGGGCTGGAAAGCCTTCAGTGTTTACATATTGTGTGTTCCCTGAGAACTCTTAAGGAGGACCTGTTTTGGCTTCCATCAGGTGAACAGCTGCTTTGTGAAGCCAGCACAGTACTGAAGTATGTCCAGGAAGATTCCTGTCAGCATGGCGTCTATGGGAGGCTTGTCTGCACAGACTTCAAGATTGCCTTCTTGGGCGATGATGAATCTGCATTGGATAATGATGTATGTATGGGCTGCATTTGGCAGAGTTTGCGGGCAACAGTGCAGTTGTGGTTCTGTTGTCTTTTTCTCCCAGCTTCTCAATTACTCTACCCCCTAACACACATAAACACAAAGAACAGAAATCCTGCATGTATAAACTGCATCTGGTGAAGTTTGCGGGGAATAGTACAGTTGTAGCTCTGTTGTCTTTTTTCCCCCTAGCTACTCAGTTACTCCACTTCCCACCATGCGCATCCTCCCCACGGCCCCACATAAATAAACACAAAGGACAGAGTCCTTCTCATCACTGGCCTGCTCTCTGTCTTTCAGGATCTCCTTTCAGTGGCAGGACCGTTTAGAAATTTCTCACCTGTGCCTCATGTCATACTGGCTTGCTTTTGACTTCATATGTTGACACTGTCAATTTTTAATTTTATTCTGTATTTCAGTGCAATATATACCACTCACTGGAATAACATCTTCCAAATATACTAGTTCCCCAACGTTTTCTCTATACTAAGCTCTTCCTTAAACCTAGGAACTGAGTCAGTAATGAAACCAATGGTGAATGCAGCCTTTGAACTTAGGTTCACTCTGTTTTTGTTGTGTTTTTAAATTTTTTTTTTTGAGACAGGATCTCACTCTGTCACTCAGGTTGGAGTGCAGTGGCACAGTCGTGGCTCCAATAATCCTCCCACCTCAGTCTCCTGAGTAGCTAGGACCATAGGCGTGTGTCATCACGCCTGGCTAATTTTGTTATTTTTGGTAGAGGCAGGGTTTTGCCATGTTGCCCATGCTGGTCTCGAAGTTCTGAGCTCAAGAAATCCACCTGGTTTGGCCTCCCAAAATGCTGGGATTACAGGCATGAGCCGCCTTACCCAGCTCACCTTATGTTAAATCTGAACCTGTAGCAGTGGCCTTGTGAAATTTGTTCCTACTCATGAAGAATGAGCAATTAAGTAAGGAGAGAACTGCCCATACCACTAGGAGAGCACCATATGTTAGTGGAAACCCAGCCAAGGCACGTCCTGGTCCCAGTGTGCCAACTGTCCCAGATCACCCTTGATTTTTAAAAAGTAGCACCAGTGCTGCCTCTTCCATCTGGCCTTGGGCTTGGTTCATAGTCCTGTACAAAGAGCATTCACCAGAAACTTGAATCTCTTGTTCTTCCTGAAGCTGACTTCAGGTAGCTCTGTCAATCCCCTATTCACATTTGTGTGGAGAAATGTTAACCTGTACATAACTTCCCCGCACTTCTCAAAGTGATTGTGTGTGGCATGGTGGGTTTGCCTAGGAGGAGCCCAGAGATGGCATATTCTCGTCCAGGCGCGGTGGCTCTTGCCTGTAATCTCAGCACTTTGGGAGGCTGAGGCAGGTGGATTGCTTGAGCTCAGGAGTTCGAGACTGGCCTGGGCAACATGCCAAACTCATGTCTCTAAAAAACCACAAAAATTAGCTGAGAGAGGTGGTGTGTGCCTGTAGTCCCAGCTACTCAGGCGGCTGAGGTGCAAAGTTAACTTGAGCCCAAGAAGTGGAGGTTACAGTAAGCCAAGATCGCGCCACTGCACTCTAGCCTAGCCTGAGTGACAGAGCTAAACCCTGTCTCAGAATGAATCTCAGGAGCTTTTCTCACACACTTCATTGTCCCTTTTTTAGGAATGTCGCTGCATTTCCCCATTTTTCTTAATATCCAGGTAGAGAATGGTGATTTACTCTGCCTATAAATGTCTAACAGTATGCAGAGGAGTCACAGTTGTTTCCTTTTGAATCTTCTAGGAAACTCAATTTAAGAATAAGGTTGTAGGAGAAAATGACATTACACTCCACTGTGTTGATCAGATTTATGGAGGTAAGTATCTGTTTTCCCTTGGGGTGTTGGCAACCTTTGAGAGTATAGCTGATAATGATGATAATATTTTTATGACCATTTATAATTAAAAAAATTTTTTTCACATATATCATCTTGTTTAAATCTGTTTTATAGATGCTAAAATTGAGATGTATAGTGGTTTATATGGGGTCACTTAGCTAGAGGAGCTTGGATTTGAACTTGAAACCTGTTCTTTCTAATATTTCACACGATGCCATTATATGCTAGATGTTGATCAGACTTTCTGAAATCAGAGTTAGCTGTGTAGGTTTTACTTTATAGGCTGCTGTGATTAAAAGGTCTGTTGTATTGCATTAGGATGTCTTTTCTGCTGACTAAACAAGCCTCTCCTGCCAAGCCTCTCTCTGTTCCACTTCTCTATTTTTGTATTCGGGGCATCTTCAGAAATCGTTCAGTGATCATTTATGATATTCTCAAAACTACTAGGTGCTGAGTGGGTCCAAATTCTAGGACAGTGAGGGGGTCTTAGGAGGGGTCCTAGCTGTAAACCCAGGAGCTGACTGTCATGAAAGCATGTCTCTAGTCATTTCCCTTTCATCTTTTATAAGATCAGCTTTCATAGTGGGTTTTCTTTGGGCCACTGGATTCAGTTCTGCCAACAGTGGCCAGTCTGTTCGTTCTTGTGCTTACTCCAGAGGAGTGAAGCACCCTGACTGCTCTCAGAGAGCCAGGGCCCCTGCTGGAAGAGATTGGGCTTCCTTTGGCAGTCACTTAAAAGTCAGGCAGCACATTTCCTCTCATTCTTGGGAAGTATCCCTAGAAATTGATCATCGACTTCGTTTCTTTAGCATTCACTTATTGCTGTGTAACATAATTTCCCTTCCTGATTTCATTGCTGATCTGTAGTGTTTGATGAGAAAAAGAAAACTCTCTTTGGACAACTGAAGAAATACCCTGAGAAGCTCATTATCCACTGCAAAGACCTTCGAGTGTTCCAGTTTTGTCTGAGGTACACAAAGGAAGAGGAAGTCAAAAGGGTAACTAGTTGCATGTGTTTTTAGGTTTTATTTCCCATCAGATTTTCCCCACTAGCTCTAGTTTTTGCTTATGTTGCATGAAGGTTAAAGGGAGGCTTTCACTCTGTGAACTTGAAATTGGTTGTAATCCCATATTCTTTGATTAGAATGTGAAAGGTAGTTTGATAAAGCATGCCTGTGTATCATCTTGGCACATGGTACCTTTAATACTTCAATTCATAGTGTTTTTATTCCTGGAGCCACTAAATGGTGGGAGGTGGTAAACCAGGTCAAGAGGCGGTAGGGGAAAATGAAGGAAGGATGAGACAGCTAAAAGTTTATCCCTATTCTCCCACTTATGACAGTCTTTCCACAAGACAGTAGTGATGGAGAATTCCAACTTCTATGAGTAAATGAGTTTACCTGTGGGAGGTAGTGGTTGTGCATGGAAAGAAGGAAGTATACAGGTCAGATGAGCAAAGCCAAATAATCAGATACGCTTTTGGAGACTAAGTAAACTTAATATCCTGGTTGCCACAGCAAGTTGAGATATGCAGCTGGGTGAACTCAGAAAGTAGTTGTATCAATTTGATATTTGTTGTAATTTCTAAGATTTTTTTTTTTTTTTTTTCTTTTTGAGACTGAGTCTCTATCACCCAGGCTGAAGTGCAGTGGTATCCAAGATTTCTCTTATTAAGATATTGATCTCAGACTTTTCCCTCTGATGGTATAAATACATCAGGGGAAACCTAGCAGGAGGCCTATTCATGTATATTGTCTTGGCTATAGTGAGTTTGCACACTTAGTGGTAACTCCTTAATTTTCTTTAAGAGAGTGTGGTAGTTCAGTTAGAATAATAAACATGACTGGTATCTATTCTGAGCAAGAAAAGAATAGTATAGATACAGAAAATTTCCTGAGAAGACAGGAACTTCAGTTCGAACAATGGTTTTAGTCACTTTTCCAAATACACTTTAGTTTCACACGGTAGACAAACAGAAAGTGTGATAGATTGATTTCTTTCCCTTATCTTCCATAAGAAGGTCCTAAAGGCCTCAACAATGAATCAGAACAGCTGTGTCTTGGTTATCATCCGATATCAGTTGTAAGTCTTTGACATGTCAGAGTTTTGGAGTATCTGACTTAATGTGGCACTTATCTTTTTTAGCACTTTGTTTTTGAGAAATTAGACTATGTTTTAAAATTTTCCCTAGAAATTAAGAGTTCTTAGAAAACCTGACAAACGGGGCTGGGCATGGTGGCCAATGCTTGCAATCCCAGCACTTTGGGAGGCCAAGGTGGGTGGATCACCTGAGGTCGGGTGTTCGAGACCAGCCTGACCAACATGGCGAAACCCTGTCTCTACTAAAAATACAAAAAACTAGCTGGCATGGTAACACATGCCTGTATTTGCAGCTACTCAAGAGGCTGAGGTGGAAGAATCGCTTGAACCCAGGAGGCGGAGGTTGCAATAAGCAACAAGAGTGAAACTCTGTCTCAAAAATAATAATAACAATAATAGGCCAGGCAGGGTGGTTCACGCCTGTAATTCCAGCACTTTGGTAGGCTGAGGCAGGTAGATCAGTTGAGGTCAGGAGTTCGAGACCAGCCTGGCCAACATGGTGAAACCCCGTCTCTACTAAAAATACAAAGATTAGTTGGGCATGATGATGCAGACCTGTAATTCCAGCTACTCTGGAGGCTGAGGCAGGAGAATCGCTTGAACCCAGGAGGCGGAGGTTGCAATGAGCAACAAGAGTGAAACTCTGTCTCAAAAATAATAATAGGCCAGGCATGGTGGTTCATGCCTGTAATTCCAGCACTTTGGGAGGCTGAGGCAGGTAGATCACTTGAGGTCAGGAGTTCGAGACCAGCCTGGCCAACATGGCGAAACCCTGTCTCTAAAAATACAAAGATTAGTCGAGCATGATGATGCAGACCTGTAATCCCAGCTACTCTAGGTGAGGCAGGAGAATTGCTTGAACCCAGGAGGCGTAGGTTGCAATGAGCCAAGATCGTGCTACTGCACTCCAGCCTGGAGCAGAGTGAGACTCTGTCTCAGAAAAAAGAAAAAAGTAAATAATAAAAATTTTTAAAAAAGAAAGAAAACCTGACAAAATGGTAGCGTCCTGTTGATTTGGCATTATTCCAAAAACTAATGTCATAGATACAGATCTCAAATGAGAATTAATGTGTGATCCATTGGAACCCCTTTGGCATGACTGAGAACCTAGACACCTTGACTCTTGTCTCTTAGTGTTTATCTGTCAAAAACATAACTATATCCATTGTTCAATTTTTTTTTAGATTGTCAGTGGCATAATTCATCATACCCAGGCTCCTAAACTGCTTAAACGATTGTTTCTGTTTTCCTATGCGACTGCTGCACAAAACAATACAGGTAAATATCTTCTGGGTTCTAATCTGTGTTCTAATTTGAGGGTAAGCAGAAGCCTTTCAATTCCCACCTGAAGCCAGTGGGGGGAAACCCATCTATGGGTTATTTTGTTTTTTCGTGTCTCCTCTACCAGTTGGTCACCCCTTGCTTGAGTGATTCATTCAGATATCTACATTTTCTTTCCTGTGATTTTCTTTTTTTTTTTAAAGATGGAGTCTTGCTTTGTAGCCCAGGCTGGGGTGCAATGGCGTCATTTCCGCCCACTGCAATCTCTACCTCCCAGGTTCAAGCAGTTCTCATGCCTCAGCCTCCTGAATAACTGGGATTACAGATGCCCACCACCATGACTGACTAATTTTTATATTTTTAGTAGAGATGGGGTTTTTCCATGTTGGCCGGGCTGGTTCCAAACTCCTGACCTCAAGTGATCCATCCACCTTGGCCTCCCAAAGTACTGAGATTACAGGTGTGAACCACTGGGCCAGGCCTCCTGTGATCTTTGTTTACCTTCTTTTAGGTTTGTTTGCTTGCTTTTTGCAAGGGATTGTTCGATTGGTTACATCTTAAGAAAGATTAGATCAAGGTCTGGGTACAGTGGCTCACGCCTATAATCCCAGCCCTTTGGGAAGCTGAGGTGGGTGGATCATGAGGTCAGGAGATGAAGACCATCCTGGCCAACATGGTGAAACCCTGTCTCTACTAAAAATACAAAAATCAACTGGGCATGGTGGCGTGCGCTTGTAATCCCAGCTACTTGAGAGACTGAGGCAGGAGACTCGCTTGAACCTGGGAGATGGAGGTTGCAGTGTACCAAGATTGTACCACTGCACTCCAGCCTGGCAATAGAACGAGACTCCGTCTCAAAAAAAAAAAAAAGAAAAATAAGATCAATATATTATAACTAGGAATATGAGACTATAGGGAAACAAAATTGAGAAACGTTTAAAATAACCATGTTTGTCCCTGGTTTCTTTTTTCTATTTAAATATACTTGATTTTATTTCATAAGACTACAGAGAATTTCTTGCATTCTAGGAAGTTTTTAAACAACCAGAGCATACTTTATAGCAAATATTTTAGGGGGAATGGGACAGTTATACATAAGAAAAGCACATCAGCAACTAATTTAGTAAGACAAAACTTAAAGTTCCCAGTGTTTTTCATTCAGTTTGGTGAAAAAGAGAGCAATCTTTTAAGAACAAAACTCTGGGTCATCTGAATTAGCCATTAACAATGCCTAGCATTGGATGTGTTTTCACAGATGTCTGTTTTCTTCTTGTTCTTTCGCCTCAGTCTGTTCACTTGTTCTGTCCATTATTCTTTTTTTTTTTTTTTTTTGAGATGGAGTCTCCCACTGTCGCCCAGGCTGGAGTACAGTGGCATGATCTTGGCTCACTGCAACCTCCGCCTTATGGATTCAAGCAGTTCTCCCACATCAGCCTCCCAAGGAGCTGGGGTTACAAGCACACACCACCACGCCCGGCTAATTTTTGTATTTTTAGTAGAGACAGGGTTTCACCTTGTTCCCAGGATGGTCTTGAACTCCTCACCTCAGGTGATCCACCCGCCTCAGCCTCCCAAAGTGATGGGATTACAGGTTCAAGGACCTGTTCGTTATTCCTTTTTTTTTTTTTCTTCAAGACAGGGTCTTCCTCTGTCGCCCAGGCTGGAGTGTGCTGGCATGATCTTGGCTCACTACAACCTCTGCCTCCCAGGTTCAAGCAATTCTCCTGCCTCAGCCTCCTGAGTAGCTGGGATTACAGGTGTGTGCCACCACACCCAGCTAATTTTTTTGTATTTTTAGTAGAGATGGCGTTTCACCATGTTGGCCAGGCTGGTCTCGAACTCCTGACCTTGTAATCCCCCTGCCTTGGCCCTCCAAAGTGCTGGGATTACAGGTGTGAGCCACCTCGCCCGGCTCCTTCCATTACTCTTAACATGAAGTTGATGTTGAATGATCCTGAGTCCTATGTAGTTTTTGTCAGGGAAGTGGCAGCGTTTTTTTTTGTTGTTGGTTTTTTTTTTTTTTTTTTTGAGACAAGTCTCACACTGTCACCCAGACTGGAGTGCAGTGATGGGATCTCAGGTCACTGCAACCTCCACCTCGCAGGTTCAAGTGATTCTCCTGCCTCAGCCTCCTGAGTAGCTAGGATTATAGGCACATGCCACTACGCCTGGCAGATTTTTGTATTTTTGGTAGAGACAGGGTTTCACTATGTGGGCCAGGCTGGTTTCGAACTCCTGACCTCAAATGATCTGCCTGCCTTGGCCTCCCAGAGTGCTGGGATTACAGGCATGAGCCACCATGCCCAGCCTAGCAGTTTCTTTTAAAAGCACACAAGGCTTTGTCATAAGGCTTTCTGGAAGGTAGAGTTGCTTTGTCACTATCCGTTCTTTTAGTAAATATGTATTGACTGCTTGCTGTGAGCCAAGCTCTGTGGGTATATGGAGATAAACAGGACTAAATCCCTGCCCTCAAGAAGTGTAAAGTTAAAAAAAAAAAAAAAAAGAAGCGTAAAGTCATATAGGAGAGGAAGCTGAGTGATGTGTCCTCTGTGGAGGCACCCACCCTCTGGGGTTGGGTGGACTATGGGGGGAGAAGCCTGAGCCTTAGTAGATAGTGGAGCATCTGGTAGGCTTAAAGGAGTATTTTGGGCAGAAGGATTGGCGTGTACAGAGATGTAGCTATCTCATAGAGCATGCTGCATTTTGGGAGCTATGGTGATTTCATAGAAAAGGTATAGATAGGTTTTGGTGTCCATTTGACCTGTGTTCAAATCCTGGCCTTACTGCTTTCTAGCTGTGTGATCCTGGGGATGACACTTAACTCTGTTAAGATAAGAAAACCTCTGCTTTATTTTAAAAATAGCAACATTAAGTCTTGTGAGAACTATAAATTGTTAATGGATGGCACATAAGGTGCAGTCATTAATTGGGAGTTAATTGAGAGTAAAACTGCATATTACTGAGGATGGATTATGCTCAGAGAATTAACACTGACATAAAATACACTTCCCAGTAATTTTAGGTTGAACATAAAATTTGTCCCTTAATTCATTAAGTTTATCTTTGTGAATGACAGATTTTTACTGTAGTTATGTAAACAAGTGCTGATTAACTGGGTGCTGACTTAGAGTTTGTGGCAGTAAGACATATACAAAGATGACTTGTTGATTACTATAATTTGTATAAACATTTATTGAGTGCAAATTTGCAAAATCATGTTCTCCTTTCAGGAATTCTGATTTTCCTTGTATCCTGATTTTTGTTCTGTACCCAGCATAGGACACTTTCTCAGCCTGCCAACGTATGTGGATCAGCATGCCAAAACCCTTACCTTGATCGACCTTGGCAGTTTCATTACCTTCTGGTGGCTTTTTGCGCCAGAGGCCCAGGACATGTATTAATAGCATCTTTCATTCTGATTTAGTTCCACTCTTCTACTTCCTTCCAGCCCTCATTTTTTTTGAGAAGTAAGGGTTATAACTCATAGATGCTAATTGACCAAATAGCTTTTTCATTGAATAGGGGTTTGTAGAGGTGGGTGCTTTGCAATTTGATGCTTTTAATTATTCCCTGGCTTCATAATTCACAAATATGTTTAGGTTGGAAGGTCCTAAATGCTTATGACATGGCATTTTAGGGAAGGACTTGCTTGTATTGCCTAGAAGATGGCCTACTGTGGTAAATGGGAATGTGATTACTACTTTATATCCATGGGGAATTTTTTTTTTTTTTTTTTGGTGGGATTTGGAGGGGCAGGATTAGAACTTTACAGAAATTTCTTCTATAGTTTCCTGGGTTTGAATCCCAGTTCCATTACTGCCTAGCTTTGTGACATAGGCAAGTTACTTGACCTTTCTGCACCATATCTGTAAAATGGAGGAAATGATCATACCTGTCGTATTATCTATTCTATAGGGTTGTGAGGATTGAGTTAATGAAATGTAATATAGGCTGGGCACAGTGGCGCATGCCTGTAATCCCAGCACTTTGGGAGGCTGAGGCAGGTGGATCACTTGAGGTCAGGAGTTCAAGACCAGCCCTACCAAAATGGGGAAACCCCCGCCTCTACTAAAAAATAAAAAATACAAAAATTAGCCAGGCGTGTTGGTGGGTGCCTGTAATCCCAGCTACTCAGGAGGCTGAGGCAGGAGAATCGCTTGAACCTGGGAGGCAGAGGTTGCAGTGAGCCGAGATCGCGCCACTGCACTCCAGCCTGGGCGAAAGAACGAGACTCCGTCTCAAAAAAAAAAAAAAGGTGTTATGTTCAGAACAGTACCTAGTAAGTGCTATATAAGCACTAACTATTATCATCATCATCATTATTCTTATTTTTGCTATGATCTGGTTTTATTAAAAGGAGCTGGGGTAATTTTTGTAAACGCTTTGTTTTTCCCAGAAGGCTTGGTTTTTTAGATGTGCAAAGACTTGAACTATTTGTGATAGAAGTTGTGTATATACTCAAGACTATTGTGGTACATGTGTAAATACCCGGCAAGCAGTGCTGTGGCTTGGGAGAAGACCAAGGACAATCTGCTAGTCTGCAAGAGCAGTGCTCCAGGGCATTTTATCCTAGTAGGTAGTGGCAGGGCTGGGTTGGGGATAGAAGTACGTGCCCATAACCATGATTCAGCCCTTGGCTAGCAGGCCCTGATCCTCACCATGGCTATCATCTGTTTATGACCTTCAGTGACCAGTTGTCACACTAGACAAATCCTCTTACAAGCAGTGCATCTTCAAACTGAAGGAGGATTTACATTGAAGAGCCTGAGATACTATTCAAATTAGTTGGCCGTCTTATGCACACATTGGCAGGGCTAAAAATATTTTGTCACTTTAGCATTTGTGCCAAGCCTATATTTTAGTGCTTCACATGATCTTCTTGTGTTATATAAATTAACTCATGATCAGATGACTAGAAATGGAGCTATAAATTACTTTTCCAAGGAGTGGAACTCAGTTCCTACAATGTAAAAAGACTGAGCTGGCCGGGTGTGATGGCTCACTCCTATAATCCCAGCACTTGGGGAGGCTGAGGCAGGTGGATCACTTGAGGTCAGGAGTTTGAGACCAACCTGGCCAACATGGTGAAACCCCATCTCTACTAAAAATACAAAAATTAGCCATATGTGGTGGTACGTTCCTGTAGTCCCAGCTGCTCAGGAGGCTGAGGCAGGAGAATCACTTTAACCCAGGAGGAGGAGGTTGCAGTGAGCCAAGATGGCGCCACAGGCCACTGCACTCCGGCAGGGGCAATAGAGTAAGACTCCATCTCAAAAAAAAAAAAAAAAAAAAAGACAGAGACTCAGTCATAATTTTGGATTCATGACAAAAAATGGAACAAGGTTGGGATTAAGCAATCAATTTATTCTGCTTGGATAAAAATGGGCTTAGTGGAGGAAACCAAAACCTAAGGAGGGACTGTCACGTAATGAAAATACCAGTGCTTCATGGAAGGATTTTATTGTCTTTTACATTTTGTTCTGTTAGTCACTGATCCCAAGAACCATACCATAATGTTTGACACACTTAAGGACTGGTGTTGGGAACTGGAACGGACCAAAGGCAACATGAAATACAAAGCAGTGAGTGTCAACGAAGGCTATAAAGTCTGTGAGAGGTAAGCTTTCCATGCTGGGCACATGCTGTACAATTCACCCATTGAAAGTGTTCATTGTTTTTTAGTATATTCACAGAGTTGTGCAGTCATTACCACAGTCAGTTTAGAACATTTGCATCATCCCAAAAAGGAACTCCATACCTATTGACTGTCACTCCCCATTTTCCCTGAATGCCTCTCTGTTCCTCCCCAGCCCTAGACAACCACTAATCTACTTTCTGTCACTATAAACTTGCCTATTGTGAATATTTCATATAAATGGAATCATATCATATGTGATCTTTTATGACTTGCTTCTTTCACTTAGCATGATGTTTTCCAAGTTTATTTATTTTGCAGCTTGTATCAGAATTTCATTCTTTTTTATTCCTAATATTCCATACTGTGGATATATTTAATATATCCATCTATTAGTTGATGGACACTTGGGTTATTTTCACTTTTTGCCTCTTTGAATAACGTGTTTTGGTTTTTTGTTTTTGTTTTTGTTTAAGACAGGGTCTCGCTCTGACACCCATGCTGCATCATGCTGGAGTGCAGTGGTGCCATCTCAGCTCACTGGAACCTCTGCCTCGGCTCAAGTGATTCTCCCACCTCAGCCTCCTGAGTAGCTGGGACCATAGGCGTGCACCACCATGCCTGTGTAATTTTTCTATTTATTGTAGAGATGGGGTTTCACCGTGTTCCCCAGGCTGGTTTTGAACTCCTGGGCTCAAGCGATCCTCTTACCTCGGCCTCACAAACTTCTAGACTTACAGGCATGAGCCATCGTGCCTGGCCATGAATGATGTTAATATGAACATTCAATTACAAATTTTTGTGTAGATGTATGTTTTTATTTTTCTTGGGTATACTACCTAGAAGTGGACTGCCAGATCCTGTGGAAATTTGTGTTTACCCTTTTGAGGAACTTACAGACTTTTTCACAGAGACGGTGCCATTTTACATTCCTACCAACAGTGTATGAGAGTTTATTTCTCCACATCAATACTAGCTTTTTATTACGTACTTATTTATTTATTCGTTTTAAGACAAGGTCTCTCTCTGTCCCCCAGGCTGGAGTTTAGTGGCGTGATCACAGCTCACTGCAGCCTCTACCTCCTGGTATCAAATGATCCTTGCACTTCAACCCCCTGAGTATCTGGGACTACAGGTGTGCACTACCAAACCCGGGCTAATTTTTGTATTTTTTGCAGAGACTGGGATCTCGATATGTTGTCCAGGCTGGTCTCAAACTCCTGGACTCAAACCATCCTCCCACCTCAGGCTCCCAAAGTGCTGGGATTACAGGCATGAGCTACTATGGCCAGCCATTCTAGGTTTTTAAAGAAAATCTTAAAGTGTCTCTTAAATACTCAAAAATGAATTTGTATATTTGTATCTTTTTATTGTTGTTGCCATTATTGTATCTCTAAGTGTAAAACTTAAAAAAAGCATGTCTGAATTTATATTGTATATTTTCTTCCCTCTTTTTTTTTTTTTGAGACGGAGTCTTGTTCTGTCACCCAGGCTGGAATGCAGTGGTGCGATCTCAGCTCCCTGCAAGCTCTGCCACCTGGGTTCACGCCATTCTCCTGCGTCAGCCTCCCGAGTAGCTGAGACTACAGGCGCCCACCACCACGCCCGGCTAATTTTTTGTATTTTTAGTAGAGACGGGGATCCACCCACCTTGGCCTCCCGAAGTGTTGAGATTGCAGGCGTGAGCCACCGTGCCCTACCTTTTTTTTTTTTTCGGAGATGGAGTCTCGCTCTGTCACTCAGGCTGGGGTGCAGTGGCGCAATCTCAGCCCACTGCAAGCTCTGTCTCCCGGGTTCACGCCATTCTCCTGCCTCTGCTTTCTGAGTAGCTGGGACTACAGGCGCCTGCCACCACGCCTGGCTAATTTTTTGTATTTTTGGTAGAGACAGGTTTTCACCCTATTAGCCAGGATGGTCTCGATCTCCTGACCTCGTGATCCACCCTCCTCGGCCTCCCAAGGTGCCAGGATTACAGGCGTGAGCCATTGCACCCGGCCTTTTTCTTCCCTTTTATTGAGCACTTCTTTTATTCATTCAACAAAAATTTTTGAGTGCCTACCATGTGCTTGGCAGTGTCCTAGCTATTAGAGATGGCAGCAATCAACAGGGCACCTGAAAACCTCTGCCCTCCTGGAGCTATCATTCTGGAGGGAGGAAGATGATGGTAGAATAAAGAAGTAAATTATAACATGTTAAAAGATAAGTGCTGTGGAGAAAAACAGATCCAGCACTTGGTTAGGGAGTGCTGGAGGTGATGATGGGAGGGTCAGTCAGGAAGGTTTTGCATGGTGGGAGTAAGGTTTTGCGTGGTAGCTTGTGAGCATAGGAAAGTGAAGGAAGTGAAAGGCTGAGTCAGAGGACACCTGAGGGAGGAGCATTCCAAGTTGAGGGAGGAGCATTCCAAGTGAAGGGAGGAATAAGGGCAAAGGCCTGTGTGAGGAACAGCAAGTAGCCCAGGGGTGGAAGAGGAGCAAGCAAAGGAGAGGAGTGGGAGATAATGGGTCCAGAGACTTTGTTGGGAGGACAGTGAGAGGGAGGCTGAGCAGAGGCAGATATGATCTGACCTACATTTTTTGTTTGTTTGTTTGTTTGTTTTTAAGACTAGAGTCTCGCTCTGTCACCCAGGCTGAAGTGCAGTGGCGTGATCTCGGCTCACCGCAACCTCTGCCTCCTGGGTTCAAGTGATTCTCCTGCCTCAGCCTCTTGAGTAGCTGAGATTACAGGCACCTGCCACCATGCCCCGTTAATTTTTGTATTTTTAGTAGAGACGGGGTTTCACCATGTTGGCCAGGCTGATCTTGAACTCCTGACTTCAACTGATCTGCCTGCCTCGGCCTCCCAAAGTGCTGGGATTACACGTGTGAGCCACCGCGCCTGGCTGACCTACATTTTTAAAGCATGACTGTATAATCTGTTTTCAGAAGCTTGAATATTATCATTTTGGAACATCCTAACACCCTATTAACAGATTCATACAACTTTGTATTTTTGTGGAGCTCTTTGTATCATGGTTCTGATAGGCCTCTTCAGTAATCAGTTTTGATTTTGATCATTCTCAATATTTACAAGGTTGCTGCCACTGGCCCCCCTCACCGCTGCCCTGCAGTCCCTTCACAGTGTGAACTGTGGTGATGGTGGGGAAGGGCCTGCCAGGGTCCTGACCCCCACCAAGGACCTCATTATCAGCCACACCCTGTTCTTTTCTCTTTGCCGGTTTTAAAGCTTGAAAGGATAAAGCTAACCCTTGCTCAGAAAGAAGTTAGAAACCCCTGCTCCTAGGAGATAATAGTTTGTAATAAGATATTGATACTAACATAAGTTCCCAGAATTGTTTTTAAAAAACATCCTGCCACATACTAATTAGTTGGCATTTGCATAGGTGTTAGCATGTTAGAAATATACAGGAAAAGCTCTGTGATTTGTTTCCCCCTGGACCACTGTAGTGTCTGCTCCATGGTGTCCCCCATCCACTGGTGCCCCAGCATCCATTCTCCATGTTGCATGCCAAGCAGGCTACTCCACACACCTCTCATGGCACTTGTCCCCAGCTTCAGTGGCTTCCTGCTGTTCTTGGTATAGAACAGAGCCCTCAACAAGCACTCTCAAGGCCCCTCATGGTTTGACTGCAGCTTTGTGTCCCACCCCTCTGGCCATACTGACCTCCCTGCCACAGGTCTTGCCCACAGGCTCCTGTCTGGAAGTCCTTTTTGCTTCTAGCTGCACAAGTATAATTAACTCCACTTCATCAGTTGGATCTTACCCCAGCTACCGCTTTTTTTTTTTTTGGGGGGGGAGACTGAGTCTCACTCTGTCACCCAGGCTGGAGTACAGTGGTATAATCTCGGCTCACTGCAACCTCCGCTTCCCAGGTTCAAGCGATTCTCCTGCCTCAGCCTCCTGAGTATCTGGGATTATAGGCGTGTGCCACCATGCCCAGCTAATTTTTGTATTTTTAGTAGAGATGGGGTTTCATCATGTTGGCCAGGCTGGTTTTGAACTCCTGACCTCAAGTGATCTGCCCGCCTCAGCCTCCCAAAGTGCTGGGATTACAGGCTTGAGCCACTGTGCCCAGCCCCAGGTACCACTTTCTTTGTGAGCTTTCCCAAGACTAAGTCAGATGTCCTTCTGAGTTTTCATTGCTCTGTCTGCCCCTCTTCACAGCACTCCCTGCAATGGCAAGTTTGTTGTTATTTTGTATCATTTGGTTAATGTGAGTTTCTGCAGCCTACAGCTCTGTGAAGTTAAAGGATGCTTTTTTTGCACATTGTTATATCCTCAGTACCCAGCACGGTGGCTGGCTTCTAAGAGGAGCTCAATAAATAGGAGAAAGAAGGAAAAGCCCTCTTTGTGTTTAGAGGGGGACCTGCAGTCAGTCTGGGTAAGAACAAGGAACTATCTACTTCACTTTCCCACAAGGTCAGAGCTGGCTATTTCGGTGCCACAGGTGTCTTCTCTTTCTCATTCTTCTCCTAACCTTTCTCTCATCCCACTTCCCTGTAAACGCATAGGATGGTATGTGGCCTTGTGGAGTGTGTACCACACAGAGGGACCTAGGAAGTGTTTGCAGACACAGGAAGACATTGCTGTTCTGGGAGGTTGTGCCTGAGTAGATACACAACTTTCCATGAGTAAAGTCATCTTGTATTTGCAGGGACTGTTTACTTTGTGTTCGAAACTCATCTTAATGACTGAAATGACTGCTTTCCAAGGAGGGAGGATTAATTGCTTTATCCAATGGGAATCTCACAGTGGGGACTCCATGGAATCCACCTGGAATTAAGTAGTCAGGAGAGGACACCTTCCACACCCCTCACTGACTGCAGGATTCTTCGTTTCTGTACAGCCTTCTCTGCTGGGTGATGAATGGGATATTTGCCAATACATTTGGTTCTTTTTTTTTTTTTTTGGTGAAAGACTATCTGTAAGAAAACCAACCACTGAACTAATAGTTTAAAATATTCAACCTCACTAGTTGGGGAAGACATGGACATTTTTTTAACACCATGGGGCCCCAGTCCAGCTTTGTAGCATGAGCCACTGAGGAAGGAGCTCAGGATCTGGTTTGAACAACTGCACAGTTGACTGTCCTGAAAAGGTTGAGAAACAGTGGCCTGTTTGTAAGTTACCATCTAGAGCAGTGTGTCTCCGTTTAATGTGTATCTAATCACTGGAGGCTCCTGTCTAATATTCAGAATCTGACTCAGTAGGTTGAGGGAGGCTGGAGCGTCTGCAGTCCTCATCAGCTTCCAGGTCATGCTGCTGAAACTATGAGTAGCAGGATCTTCTGGAACAAACAGTGTTCATCCCAACTGCTTACCTGGAGAGCTTTTAAGCTTCTGATTTAATAGTTCTTGGATGGAGCCTGGACATTGGTAATCTTTTAATCTTCCCACTTGATTTGAATGAGCAGCCTGAGTTTTAAGAGCAGTTGATCTGTGGAGAGGTTTTTACTTCAGTGACTACACCTGAAAAAGGGATGCCTTACCAGTCACCCATTCAGGCAGACTTACAATAAATATTTCAAGTGCTTCAGAACTTCAGAAGGCAAACATTCTTCACAGTTTTGATGGTTTGAAGTGTCTTAGTGACCATTAGTTCCCAAACCTGGTTTTCCATCACAATCTTATTGGAACTTTTTCTTCATTAATTACCTTTAAGATTTCTTGGTTTTGGATTTTTTTTTTGAGACAAGGTCTCGCTGTGTCACCCAGGCTGGAGTGTAGTAGCACAATCTCTCCTCACTGTAACCTCTGCCCCCTGGGCTCAAGTGATTCTCCCGCCTCAGTCTCCTTAGTAGCTGGGACCATAGGTGCCCTCCACTATGCCCGGCTCAATTTTTTATATTTTATATGACTATAAAAAATTTATATCTATATTTTATTTATATTTGTATTTTTATATTTTTAGTAGTGAGGGAGGTTTTGCCATGTTACCTAGGCTGGTCTTGAACTCCTCAACTCAGGTGATCCACATTCTGGGATTACAATGTGAGCTACTATGCATGCCCAGCCCAAGGTTTTTTTTTTTGAGACAGAGTTTTGCTCTGTTGCCCACGCTAGAGTGCAGTGGCACAATCTTGGCTCACCGCAACCTCCATCTCCTGGGTTTGAGCGATTCTTCTGCCTCAGCCTCTCAAATAGCTGGGATTACAGGCGCCCACCACCATGCCCAGCCAATTTTGTATTTTTAGTAGAAACGAGGTTTCACCATCTTGGCCAGGCTGGTCTCAAACTCCTCACCTCGTGATCCACCCACCTCAGCCTCCCAAAGTGCTGGGATTACAGGCGTGAGCCACCACACCCAGCTGATTTTTTTTAAATGCAAAATTTCAAGCACTATAAAAGGAAAGAAGATATGATGAATTCCTATTTACCCTAAAGTACCCAGATTCAACCGTATCAACTGATGGCCAATTTTGTTTTCTCTATACCCCCACCTCCTTCACCTTCTCTTGGATTATCTTGTTTTAATTTTTTAAAGACAGGGTCACCCAGGCTTAAGTGCAGTGGCACAGTGATGGCTCATTGCAGCCTTGAATTCCTGGAGGCTCAAGTGATCCTCCCAAGTAGCTGGGACTACACGTATGTGCCACCATGTCCAGCTAATTTTTTTTTTTTTTTTTTTGTGGAGGTGGGGTCTCACTATGTTGCCAAGGCTCGTCTCAAGCTCCTGGCCTCAAGCAGCCCTCCCACCTTGGCCCCCAAACTGTTGGGATTATAGGCGTGAGCCACCATGCCCAGCCAGGATTATTTTGAAATACATTCCAAAGTTTGTGGCATTTCATTCACAAATATTTCAGTATATATTTCTAAGAATTAAGGACTCTTTATAAATATAACCATAAGACCATTACCACACCTTTCAAATGTCCCATTAATTTTTTAATATCCAGTTACTGTTCAGATTTTCCCCAGTGTCTTACAATTTTTTTTTTTTGAGACAGAGTCTTGCTCTGTTGCCCAGGCTGGAGTGCAGTGGCGCGATCTCAGCTTACTGTAAGCCCCACCTCCCAGGTTTACACCGTTTTCCTGCCTCAGCCTCTGGAGTAGCTGGGTCTACAGGTGCCTGCCGCCACCCCCAGCTAATTTTTTGTATTTTTAGTAGAGACAGAGTTTCACCATGTTAGCCAGGATAGTCTCAATCTCCTGACCTCATGATCTGCCTGCCTTGGCCTCCCAAAGTGCTAGATTACAGGCGTGAGCCACTGTGTTCGGCCGTGTCTTACAGATGTTTAAACCATTTCTCTGTCATCTTTTTAATCTTTTTTAAAATTAATCAAGATTCAGTGAGATTGGTAGGTTTGGTAAATTGCTTCATCTGTAGATTTTCAAGTCGTCATATTTTTCTTGCAATGTGTTGAAGAAACTAGACTGATAGTTTTCCACACCTTAGGTTTTGATGATCACAGCCCCATGGTAATATTTATTTGTTGCTCCATCTCCTATGAACTGATCTACATCACACATGCAGCATGCATGCAAATGCCATTGATTATTTTCCATTGTAACTTAACACCATAAGCACCTTACTTCTTGTGAGTCTTTATTTCAAGCTTTTTGAGGGAAAGATGCTTACAGATTCTTACAGATTCACAGTGATAGAAACTTAGGCAGTTTTCTTATTAACAGAAACCTGCATCTGCTGCCTAAGAGATGATGTCCCCATGTAACTTTGATCTTTCATTCTGCCATGTCCTACTACTTAACAAGTTGGTTCTTTTTAGAGACTAAATTTTCTCCTATAGAAGTTGAAGTCCCACTGCTTGGGTTCAGGTCCCTGCATCACTGTATGCTAACTAGTTGTGTGACCAGGGGAGAGTCTTAGGAGCATTGTGTCTCAGTTTCTTTATCTGTAAGATGGAAATAATATTACATATCTCATAGAATTGTTGGGAGGATTAAATGGATAATGTTAAGTAATTAGAACAGTGGTTGGTACACAGTAGCACTTAAATGTTCTTGTCAGAGCACTTGATAAAATGTCTGGGCAGCAAACATCATAATTACTGTTTTTCCTATTAGTTTAACTGAAAACAACACAGATGCTTATTCGGCTACTATATGATGAGAATAATACTCCCAATTTCATAATTCTATGCTTTTAGGTATCGTATTTTCCTATCCCTTCATTTCTGAACAAGGAAACAGACCCAGAGAGGTAGAATAACTTACCTGGGGTTGTACAGAGTCACAAGCAGAGCCACAGTTTGGACTTAGATTCCCCACTGATTTGTCCAGAGTGCTTTATGCCACACCGAGAGCAGCAGTTCCTCTGAGCTGGTTCTCAACAGGGAAATATGGTCCTGTCTGCTTAACGCTCTGCTTGTATTCATCGTATTCATTGAAATTGAGCTTTCCTATTTTGTGAATTAAGTGTTGTAGTAAAACTTGATGACATTTCTTTTTTCTAGATTGCCAGCATACTTTGTTGTCCCCACCCCTCTTCCTGAAGAGAATGTGCAGCGCTTTCAAGGTCACGGCATACCAGTAAGTGCATCTGGGAACCCTAAGAGACGTGGGTCGTGCATTGGTGTATCCTGGCAAAAATGATCCTACTGAAAGCCCTTGGCTTTGGTTCTAGAGTTTGTTTTCAGTCCAAGAGCAATCCAAAAATATCTTAGGGACTCCCTAGAGGAGTCTCTTAAACGTGATTGGGACAGAGTTCTAAAGTTTTCACAAATGCACTTGAGTTTTTAGAAGAGACATTAATGGAGCTTTAAGAGGATCATAGATCTGTCTGGTGTTGAAAGCAAGCCTGGTTTAACACCTAAGTCATTTTGAACCTGAGCCAAACCACACCAAGGGTAGTAAGATTTAAGCTTCTTTTGGCCCACGCCATTAATCTTTGTTCGGGCATGGTGGTGTTTTCTCCCAGAGAAAACATGGAGTGCTTCTTAGTTTTCACAGAATTGAGTGGGATTGGAGCCATATTTAATGTGTCACTGATCAAAGAAAGCAAGACTCTGGCAGTCACTCCAGTTTCTAATTGGCAGTTGGGAATTGCCAGACCTGCAGGGTATTTAGTAAGGAATGAGAATTATAAATAAATGCTGTGCTGTGCGCACAGCTGGTTCACCAAAAGGGTCACTCCCATATGGGTGGAGGTATGGTTAAGCAGGGTCACATGCCCAGAAGCCCTTGGAGGCCACGCAGGTAATGAGTATGACCTTGCAGTGAACCAGAGGCCCTCTGCCTGGTCTAGGGGGACATCTCTTCAGTGCCAGCCAGTATGTGCGACATGGGAATATGAGCCAAGTGTTGCCAGATGTCCTGATTTTTCAGGAGAAGCCGTAGATAACAGATTCTTTTTTTTTTTTTAAACGAAGTTTCACTCCTGTTGCCCAGGCTGGAGTGCAGTGGCCCAATCTCCGCTCACTGCAGCCTCCGCCTCCCAAGTTCAAGCAGTTCTCCTGCCTCAATTCTCCTGCTTAACACTCTGCTTGTATTCTTCGTATTCATTGAAATTGAGCTTTCATATATTATGAATTAAGTGTTGTACTAAAACTTGATGACATTTCTTTCTTCTAGATCGTCAGCATACTTTGTTGCTGTAATCCCCAAGTAGCTGGGATTACTGGCGCCCACCACTAGGCCTGGCTAATTTTTTGTGTTTTTAGTAGAGACAGGGTTTCGCCGTGTTTACCAGGCTGGTCTCGAACTCCGGGCCTCAGGTGATCTGCCTGCCTCAGCATCCCAAAGTGCTGGGATTATAGGCGTGAGCCACCACGCCTTGCCTAGGTGCAGATTTTAATGAATATATGCCACTGATTCAGATGTTTAAAAGCATGTTTTTGGGCCAGAGTTGGTCACAATGAATAAAATTCATAATTTTTGGTTCTTTATTAAGGACATTCTCAAGTGAAACTTGTTTTCTGCTGGTGTGGCAGTAAAGAATACAGTGAGCATCAGTACAGTTGAGTGGCCCTGCCTTGATTGGTACTCTCACCAGCAATTTTACCACCACTGCTTTTGTACCATCAGTGCAAAAGTCACCATGGTACATATGACAAAATTATATCTTAGTAGTATTATGAAAATATCTGTGGCCTCTCAAACCACCTGATAGGATCTTGAGACCTCCCAGGGTAGTGTGTACTACACTTTGAAAACAAATGCGTTAGAGGAATGAAAATAAGAGTCTCTATCTTTCAGTCTTTCATAGAGGGATCTAGAAAAGACAGTTTGCTTGCTGGGCAAGGTGGCTCATGCCTGTAATCCCAGCACTTTGGGAGGTCGAGGTGGGCAGATCACGAGGTCAGGAGATTGAGACCAGCCTGGCTAATACAGCGAAACCCCGTCTCTACTGAAAATATAAAAAAAATTAGCCGAGCGTGGTGGCGGGCATCTGTAGTCCCAGCTACTCGGGAGGCTGAGGCAGGAGAATGGTGTGAACCCGGGAGCTGGAGGTTGCAGTGAGCCGAGATCACGCCACTGCACTCCAGCCTGGGCGACAGAGCGAGACTCCATCTCAAAAAGAAAAAAAAGAAAAGAGGGTATGCTCTGTGGGAAGAAACAGAGGTGAATTGTTCACATATGTAAGAATAGGCTGCTTCTCCATCCCTGCAGTGTGTGAAATGTAGATGTTCTGCGTTCTAGTGAGGCCTTGGGCCTGAGAAGTAGCAAGTGTTCTGATAAGATTTGAGTGAGGAGCCTGAGGCATTACTTTGAAAGAAACTGTGGCATGTACAGGGCACAGTGACTCACGCCTATAATCGCAGCACTTTGGGAGGCCAAAGCAGGCAGATTGCTTGAACGCAGGAGTTTGAGACCAGCCTGGGCGACAGAGTGAGACTCCGTCTCAAAAAAAAAAAAAAAAAAAATTAGTCTGGTAAGGTGTCACATGCCCATAGTCCCAACTACTCTGGAGACTGAGGTGGGAGGATCCCTTGAGCCAGGAGTTCGAAGCTGCAGTGAACTGTGATCGTTCCACTGCACTCTAGCCTGGGCAACAGAGTAAGACTCTGTCTCAAAAAGAAAAGAAAAGAAACTGTGAGAAGGTGTTCTGATTCCATTAGTTATTCCTATATTTATACGTCCCAAAAGTTACAGTGGAGTTTGTGTGAATGGACAGCAAAAAAGTATTACACAAGATGGAATTTGTACATCTACCCAGAAAACATAGAGCCCCCAATCTCTCTCTTTCTCCCTCTCTTTTCTTTTAACATAAAATTTTCATTTGACTGGAACATGAAGATCACCAGAAATGGTCTTAAGCAAATAAAAAGGTAATTTATTTTATATTTGGAATGGGTGAAATTACCTACCTTAACCTAGAATACCCAATCCTTTTAAATGTACACAGTACCTCTTTAGCCTCTTGTTTTTAGTTTTGTTTAAGACACGGTTTCTCAACCTAGGCACTATTGATATTTTAGGCCAGATAATTCTTTGTTGTGGGGGCCATTAAATTCTTTGTTGTGGGGGCCATTATTGTAGAATATATAGCATCAGTACTGCCAGTAGCGTTTTCTGAGGTGCCAGTAGCACCCCTGTCCTGTGAGTTGTGACAACCAACAAATATGTTCAGACATTGCCAAATGTCCCCCCTTGTGGGTGGGGTGGGGGGCACAAAATGCAGGTTGAAAACCCCTGCTTTAGGTGATCTGGACTGTTTTCTGTTTAGCATATGTCTCCTCTGACTCTTAAGAGACTTACAGAAAATGTGACAACTAGGTAATGTGAGTGTCTGTAAGCCCCTCTGTGGCTTGGTCTTTACCTGTTCTTCTTTCTGTCATTCCTATTGAACCTACTCGTATTTACACTTATTCTCCATGCTTATTTTTGTTGTTAAGCAGATAAGAACATCCAACTATTTTCTCTTAAACCATATGTTTAAGAGATTTGCAAAAACACAAAACAATGCCGTTTATCTTCCTATGTGTTTTTGGTTGGAAAATGTTATTTACAGTAACAGGTAATTGGTAATTACTGTTTTAAAATGAATTAGTATTTTAAAAGTTTCTCAGTTTTAATTTCTAATGTGGTAAATATCAATACCTATAGCTTATGTAGACACAAGCTCTTCAGGGTCCTCCATAATTTTTAAGAACATAAAGGGGTCTATGACCAAAAAGTTTGAGAACCACTGATCTGCAAGATTGCACGTACATATATTTTCTCTAGGACCTGGCATATAAGCACTCAAATCAATAGTAACAGGTAATTTGCAGTAGGTGCATAGGAAGCTAAGATTGAAGAGATAGTTTGGGGCTAGATTATGAATGATCGATCTTTCGTTCACAGAATCTTTAAAAATTGTGGTAAAATACACGTAACATAAAATTTCCCATAGTGACATTTAGTATATTCTCAATGTGTTGCAACCATTACCACAGTCTGTTCCAGAACATTTCCACGTCTCCATGCTGTCTACCCTGGCTTTTCACCCAGTCTATTCTTTCCTGCCTTCACTTCTTTTCAGGGAAGACCTGTGTAATTTGTCAGTTTATTCATGTCCTTGCTGCTATTCTAAAGGCTTTGGCTGCTGTTCTTCAACCCTGAGTATCATATTTTTTTTTCCTCTGGGGCAAATGAACATTGCTATGGATTATTCAGACCAAACAGCAAACTGTGCTTAACGGGACCTGTGAAAACCACTGGTGATGCTTTGTCTTGCCCAGCAGTATGCTATTTAACTGCTTTTGGTTCCTGTATCATTGTTCTCTGCGTGAACAGGTTTTCATCCTCTTTAAGTTTTTTGTATCATTCTTAACTTCCAGTGACGACCTTTCCCCTAGTCCAGCGGGATCCAGGACAGCGACAAGAACTCCCTCAGCTTCCTTCTATTCAGCCTCCTGTTGTTACTCTCTGGGCTTCTGTTTCCTTCATACAGAATCCGGGTATCTGTCTGGGCTCTTGATTGCCTCGTTTGGAGCCCAGTTCCATTGGCCTTCCCTCTTCCATGGTTGCCTTTCCCAAGTCTGTTCTGCTGTGTCTGTTCTTGAAGACATCCTTCTGTCTCCCTTAACCTGAGGCACTTCCGTAGTAATCAAGGGGCTGTCTTGTTCTGCCTGTACTGCCAAGCATATTTAAGGAGTCTATACTTGTTTTCGCTACCATTTTGTCTTGCAACATGACTTCTACTCCCCACACACTGTGGACATTTCCCTCCCAGAAGTCCTTATGCAGTGTGCAGCCCCAGTCCCCCACATGACTGCAGTGTTTGACTCCCATGACATTGTCTTTTAAGTTCCTGCCCTGGCTTCGGAAACACTATACTCCCTTGGCCTGCTGACCTCCTTCATGGTCCTTCACTGCTTGCTTACGCTGCCTTCTGCCTCAGATTGTAGATGTTCCCTTAAAGCTCTGTTTTTGACTCTATTAAGAGAGGGACCAAATGTCCCTCTCTTAAAATGTACCAAATAATGAGTATTCCTTTTTTTATAAAAACAAATAAGATTAACAAACTGTGATTCTTGTCTGTGAAGTCACTCATACTAAGAATTCTGGCCCTCACTGTTACCAGAGAGAAATTGCAGCAATAGAAGATTTTTTGCTAAATTTCTGTGAGAAGCCTCTCTGACCAGGAACTTTGCTTGTTTCTATTTACTGTTTCACGCAGATAGTAGTAAGGGAGTTGGCCCTTCACGCCTCAGATGAAATGAGACAGTTATGATTGGAAGTTATTACATGTGCCCCAGATGGAAAATGAGTTATAGTTGGAGATCACCAAGGGACTATGCTTTCTGCCCCTTCTGCTCCAGAAAAGGAGATAAAAAGGGTTAAGAACACTTAGTTTCTTAGGACTCACTATCCAGTCATGGCTAAGAGTATCTCCCCTTTATCCAAGTGAGCTGTGCTAACTAAGGGGGGCACAATGGCCTGGGCACCAAAATTTTACCACCTTAGGCATAGAGCTGAAAACTGGTGATTTCTGCATATCACTTAGCATGGCATTGAGAAAGGGAATACACGAGCAGCAAAGGGCCCTTTGATTATCTTATGTTCTAACACTTCCGCCTCATCATGAATCTTCAAGTATGGCTTGGCCCCAAGAGGGAAGTTGTTGCTGTTTTCAGTAGTTCCTAAAGCAGTTCTGTGTCGCTCTGTCCTTGCTCTCTGGGTGGGCTCATCATCACCCCCACTACAGCAGGCCATCAGCTCCCATGTCTAGAGCTCTAGGCCTGTTTTCCTCTCATTTTAGGGGCCTCCTGAATATCTACACATGGAGGTCCTGTTGGTACTAGACAACCAATATGTGCTGATTCCATCACCTTCCCTGGAAATCCCAAACCAGTTTCCCTTTGTGATTTTCTAAGTGCAGTGCACAATATCACCTGGATTGTTTTGCTGATCTCTAACTCTTGGTCTAGGCCACTGCTAGCATATCCAATGCGTGGTTTATACCTGGCAGATGAATGGCAAAAAGGTGTCGCCTTTGGGCAGCTGAATTATAAAATGTCTTTCTTTCCTCCAGGTTTACCTTTGAGCCCAGGCCAGTGGCTTGCTCAGCAAAGCAAGGGCTGGACCTTAGCCACCCTCAAGCACTTAGCTGGGCCTTTAAGCAGGACTCAAAGTCCACAACTGTACTCACCTGTCCAACCAGTCTGTCTGGCTTCTCCAATCTAGGCTCCACTGGCAGATTACTTTGCCCCAAGATCCGTTCTAATCTCCTTTTGTTCCTGAAAAACAAAGAAACAAAACCCCCCACTGTATCCTGAAAAAAGCCTGAGCACCTTAACCTGTTGCCAAAGCAGAAGAAAGCCTAAACGGCCTCGCCTGCCACTCTTGGTCACTCATGTGACGTCTTTCTCCTTGCCTTGTTTGTGGTTTCCTTGAAATTTCTTTCTTCTGTTATATAATACATTGTACCTTCTTTTTTATTCCTAAGCTTATTTCCCTTTTGAAACTAAGCTCTGAAGGAAGACACAGTATCTTAGTATCTTTGTGCCCTCCCGCAACCTAATGTAGTGCCTTGCATGTCGCAAGTCTTGAATTCAGTTATGTCAAATAGCCAACATTCCATTCTTCCTCGTGTGGATTTTCTCTAATGAGAGTTGCCCCCTTTTTGCCATCCGTATACAACACAGCCTTTAGAGTCACACTGTGGCTACTTTCTGTACAACTTGGGAAAGTTCTTCCATCTCTCCAAGCCTCAGTTTCTTGCTGTTAAGGGGGATAAATAATTATACCTATCACAGAGAGTTACTATAACAATTAAATGAGTTAATTCATGTAAAATACCTGACATGTAATAAGCTGCACTTGAATGATAGCTACTATCCTAATAATAATAATAATGTTGTTGTCATCATCTGGGTTACCAGCTGATGATAAGTCAAAAGGTATATGTTAGACCGTAAGTCTGTGTCTGACTACCTAGACCTGTTTATTTTTTAAAACTAAATCATTCTTTTTGGTTGTGGCTAAATACTCCCAGGCTTAATAAAGTTGAGTATGTCCAGCCATTTCATACTGAAGTTACAAATTTCCATGTATGCATTTAAATGCTAAGCTTAAGTGTCCCCTGTTGGGTTGTGTTTATTATATCTGGTAAATCTTTATTTGTTTCTACAGATATGGTGTTGGTCCTGCCACAATGGAAGTGCCCTTTTGAAAATGTCAGCACTGCCCAAAGAACAGGATGATGGCATTTTACAAATCCAAAAGAGCTTCTTAGATGGGTCAGTACTAGTTCTACATTTTGTTCTTGTTCAGTTCTTATTTTCCAAGAAGCAGGGAACAGATCTTAGTAGTATGTCTATTTCTATTTACCTACTGGTAGCTTAGTGCTAGGGGAATACAACTTACAGTGATCATTTTGAGTTAATTTGAAAGGAGTCAGTATAACATAATAGTTAAGAATGTCACCTGCGTTGTTTTTAGAGGTGCACGCTAAAGTCTTCAGCAGGGAAGTGACATGATGTCTGTAATGTTAACAATTGTCAAATTTAGGTCATGGTACATGTCTCTATACTATTCTACTTTCTGCATGTTTCAAATTAAAAACAAAAAACCAAAAAAACCCAAAGTAGATGAATTAAAAAAAAAAAAAGAAGGAATAGACTCAGAGTTACATTGCCTTGGTCCAGATCATGGCTCTCTCAGTTTATAAATTGGATAATCTTGGGCCGGGCAGTTTTACTCTATGCACCTCCATTTCCACACCCATTGACTGGGAACAGGAGTCCCGCAGCAATTGCCTGGTAGGTGAAGATTAAATGGAAGAATGCCTACTGAGTCCTTAACACAGATTGTGGCACATAGTAAATCCTTAGGCAAAATTTGTGTTTGCTCTTCTAATCTCATATTCCTTTTTGATACCTAGAGTTTACAAGACCATCCACAGGCCACCCTATGAAATTGTTAAAACAGAAGACCTGTCAAGCAACTTCCTATCCCTGCAGGAAATCCAGACTGCATACTCTAAATTTAAACAGCTATTTCTGATAGGTGAGAAGAATACTGAGCAAAAACTTTTGTGTCATGGGGAAAGACATGCCAGGCAGATCAGGTGAAAGTTGGTGCCTTTTCCCTGGGTTCCTTAAGGTAGTATGCAGAGCCCAGGGCTGCGATGTCATGGAGCCCGGGGTCTGGCTGCCTTTACCACGCTTCCCTCCTCATCTCTCTCCAGGCTTTCCCCCACTGCCTCCTTATTGTGGCAGTGATAACACGGCCACCCTCCTCTTCTCCCCTTCCTCAGCATACCAGTTGCCCAGTGGTGAGCATTTTGGTTTCTTCCTTTAAAAGTTTTTTATCTATGTAGCATTTATATTTGTTGACTTGCAGTGATTTATAAAGTGAATAATGTTCATTTTCCTGTGTAGACTTTTTCCCAAAGTGGAAATGCTTTAATTTTTCCCCCTGATTGGGAATATACAGTTTCTAACAATATTAAAAGTTTTATCAAAAGTGTACAAAATAGAAAATGAAATATGTCCATCCCAGCTACCCCCATTTTCCTGCCCAGGCTGCCTACTGGTGCCTCATATTTAACACTGCTCAGTCACTCATTCATTCTCTTCATTCTAGAATGAGACTTTACGCTCTGAGATTTGTCATGCCTATAGGTAACTTTTCCTAACTTGGACATTTTTTTTTTCTTTTTTTTTCTTTGAGACAGGGTCTCACCTCTGTCATCCAGACTGGAGTGCAATGGCATGATCACTGCTCACTGCAACCTTAAAACTCCCAGGCTCAAGTGATCCTCCCACCTCTACCTCCCAAGTAGATGGGATTACAGGCACATGCCTCCTCACCTGGCTAATTTTTGTATTTTTTGTGGAGACAGAGTCCCATAATGTTGCCCAGACTGATGTTGAACTCCGGGGCTCAAGCTATCCTCCACTTTGGCCTCGCAAAGTGCTGGGATTATAGGCACGAGCCACTGCCTGGACTAACTTGGACTTTTTAGCCTAGCAAATGCTTAACTATTTTGGGATTCATTCCGTGACATTTTTTGAGTTTCCATTGAACAAGGGGTGTTCAAAAAGTTCATGGAAAATGTATATTATGAAAAAAGTATGCATGAATTCCCAAACTTTTTTACCCCAAAATAACTCTACTAACTTATTATAATATGCCTGAGCAGGATCTGGTCTGAGGAGCTAAGAAGGGTAAGAAATTAGTTTGAAAACAGCCCCTATTAGAGCAACATGAATTCTGCTGAAATTGAAGCAAAAACAAATATTGAATTTATGGTGAAGCTTGGGTGGAAGAATGGTAGAATTATTGATGCTTTATGGAAAGTTTACGGAGACAATGCCCCAAAGAAATAAGCAGTTTACAAATGGACAACTCATTTTTAAGAAGGAGCAGATAATGTTGAAGATGAAGCCTGCAGCAGCAAACTGTCCACATCAATTTGCAAGGAAAAAATTAATCTTGTTTCTGCCCTAATTGAAGAGGACCAACAGTAGAAGAAACAATAGTCAATTCCATAGACATCTCAATTGGTTCAGCCTACACAATTCTGACTGAAAAGTTAAAGTTGATCAAACCTACTCACTGAGCGTAGTGGCTGATGCCTGTAATCCAGCACTTTGGGAGGCTGAGACGGGCGGATCACTTGAGTTCAGGAGTTTGAGACCAGCCTGACCAACATGGCGAAACCCCATCTCTGCTAAAAATACAAAAAGTAGCCGGGTGTACTGGCAGGTGCCTGTAATCCCAGCTACTTGGAGGGGCTGAGGCAGGAAAATGAACCTGGGAGGCAGAGGTTGCAGTGAGCCAAGATCATGCTACTGCTCTCCAGCCTGGGTAATAGAGCAAGACTCCATCTCAAACAAACAAACAAACAAACAAACCTTCTACTCAGTAGGTGCCAAAACCATTGTGCCCAGATTAGATTCAGATGAGAGCAGAGCTTTCAACAGAAATTTTAAACAAGTGGGATCAAAATCCTGAAGCATTTCTTTGAAGAATTGTTAACAGGAGAAGAAACATGGCTTTACCAGTACGATCCTGAAGACAAAGTACAATCAAAGCAATGGCTACTGAGAGGTGGAAGTGGTCCAGCCAGGGCAAAAGCAGATGGGTCAAGAGCAAAGGTCATGGCAACAGTTTTTTGTGATGCTCCAGCCATTTTGCTTGTTGACTTTCTGACCAAACCTCTCTGCTTATTAGGAGAGGATTTTGTTTTTTTTTTTGAGACAGATTCTCACTCTGTCGCCCAGGCTGGAGTGCAATGGTGTGATCTTGGCTCACTACAACCTCTGCCTCCTGGGTTCAAGTGATTCTTATGCCTCAGCCTCCTGAGTAGCTGTAATTACAGGGGTGCACCACCAGGCCCAGATAATATTTGTATTTTTAGTAGAGGCAGGGTTTCACCATGTTGTCCAGACTGGTCTTGAACTCCTTACCTCAAGTGACCTGCCTTCCTTGGCCTCCCAAAGTGCTGGGATTATAGGCATGAGCCACCGTGCCCAGCCATAAGAATGTTTTAAGAAAGTTGGCCAAAGCTTTAGTAGAAAAATGCCCAGGAAAACTTTGTCAGAGGGTCCTTGTGTACTGCTCATTCCTCCTATCAAACAAGGGCAATTTTGCAAGAGTTTTTTTGTCTTTTTTTTTTTTTGGAGACGGAGTCTTGCTCTGTCTCCCAGGCTGGAGTGCAGTGGCCGGATCTCAGCTCACTGCAAGCTCCGCCTCCCGGGTTCACGCCATTCTCCTGCCTCAGCCTCC